TGTCTAATTTGCTGTAAAAAGCAAAACGTTCAGATATAGTTGTTTTAGCAGGCGATTTCAATGCCCAAGTAGGGAAGTTGTGCCAGACTGAGAAGTATGTAGGTCGTATGTATGGAGTTCCCTGCCGACGAATCGACAACGGTGATTGTCTTCTACAGTTCTGGTCAGATAATTATCTGTTCCTAGTCAGCACTACCTTTAGGCACAAAGAGAGACACTGCGTAACCTGGTGACCTCCATCACCAAGTCAACGCTGGACTCAGATAGACCACATAGTGATAGGGTATCGTTGGCGAGGGTCAGTAGAAGACTGTCGCTCCTTCTGGAACACGTGCGTAGACTCTAATCACGCTCTGGTTCACGCACGTTGATGCTTACGACTAAATGGACATAAGAAATTGATGGTAGCGAAACAGTTACGTCCCCAACTAGATCGAGACACTGAGTCCTTATTTAAGGAAGAAATAGCGAAACGTGTATCTGAGGTCGACAGCAGGAGTTCCCCTGAGGTAGCCTGCCACAACATAGAGTTAGCTGTAGACACAGCTGTGAAAGATGTTAATGAGCTAAAACCTAAAGTTAGTAAAAGCCATTGGATCTCTACCGCCTCATCCGAACTGATTGACGCAAGAAGCCTGATTCCGGCGAGCTCCGATTATGATGAGGAGAGAAAGGTACTTAAACGAAGACTAACAAAAAGTCTTCGCAACGACCGTGAACAGTGGTGGGCGACAAAAGCGAAAGAGATGGAAAAGGCATCGGCGATTGGCAATACCAGACAACTATTTTGGCTTATCGGGGAAACAGGTGGCAGAAGGCAAATGATAAGTGAAACAATCTCTGAGAAAAACGGCACCATAATTAGCCCCCAGGATAGACGACTGGAACGCTGGAAAGAACACTATGAGGAGCAGTTCAATTGGCCTACAGCCACAGTTAACCTACCGAACATCCAACACCTCCCGGAATGGGATAAAGACACAGGTCCTCCTTCCTTAACCGAGGTTACTAAAGCTGTCACTAATCTGAAACAAGGCAAAGCAGCGGGACCTGATGGAATGATTCCAGAGGTATTTAAGTACGGTGAAGACAGTTTACTGTCTGCATTAACTGAGGTTCTAGACAGCGTCTGGGAATCAGAGGAAGTCCCGTCGGGTTGATGTAAGTCACTGATCACCCCTATATACAAGAAGAGAGATAAGTCTTCCTGTGATAATCACTGATGGATTAGCTTGACTAATGTAGTGTCTGAAGTCCTAGGCTCAATAATCATGCGTAGACTAATTGGTGCTCGGGAGGCACAAACACGAGAAAACCAGGCAGGCTTTAGACCAGGAAGAGGATGTATTGATCATATCCTCACCCTCCGAGAGATTCTAGAACATAGGCATACTCACCACCGGCGTCCAACAATCACTATATTTCTTGACCTAAAGGCGGCATTCGATTCTGTCGACCGAGAGGTTCTCTGGCGCTGCTTGGCTGTAAAGGGAATGCCGAGAAAAGACATTGCACTGATCAAGTCACTCTACTCGTACTCATGCAGCCAGGTGAGGGCTTACGGCGAGTTGTCATCTGAAGTAGTGACAACTAGTGGTGTCCCTCAGAGATGATCACTATCCCCATTTCTATTCAACTTCATCATAGATGTACTAATGGACTTAACCCTAACTCACTTCAGAGACTCAGGGATCGACTTGCTACCAGGTAATAATCTCGTTTACTTAGAATATGCAGACGATATAGTCCTTCTAGGCGAGGACGCTGACAAAATGCAGAGTCTTCTGAACACCTTGAGCAGCAATCTTCGTATGTTTGGCATGCGATTCACCCCTGTAAAATGTAAGATGATGTTGCAAGATTGGACTACACCGAACCCTAGATTAGAAATAGGAAGTGAAGTGGTAGAGCACGTTGACTGCTTCACTTATTTGGGAAGTACCATCAGCCCCAACGGGTTGATCGCTGACGAAATCTCAGTACGAATACAGAGGGCTAGTTTCGCATATGCCAGTTTACGCCGTCTCTGGCGTAGACGTGATATCCGGCTGGCTATCGACCAAAGAGCGTGTGTACTGTTCAGCAGTCCGCTCCGTCCTCCTTTATGGCTGTGAGACCTGGCCATTGAGAGTGGAAGACATGAAAAGATTAGCTGTCTTTGATCATAGGTGTCTGCGTTCTATCTCCCGCGTGAAGTGGTATAATAAGGTAAGCAATATTGAGGTTAGGCCTCGAGTGCTAGGTAAGGAGGGAAAATCAGTCGACGAGGCTGTGAAATTACATCGAGTGAGATGGTTAGGACATGTGTTACGTATGCACTAGTCATCGCCTTCCTCGACGGGCAATGTTAGCTGATATAGGGTGAGGCTGGAAAAGAGCTAGCGGCGGTCAAACCAAAACATGGCACCAGTCAATGAAATCTGCAACAGTTAGTCTAAGCCACGTAGGAAGGTGTAGACTTCCTGGTTGGGGTCCTCGGGACGGTAAAAACCAATGGTTGGAAACAATTGGTGACATGGCTAAAAATCGTTCTCAATGGCGCAGATGCATCCACTCCTTGTGACTTATGATTTCCAATGAAACTGTTTTGTTCTTTGTTATTACTATTCCTTTGTCTCACACCTCTGTTTACTGTCTCTAATATGCATTTCTCCTACTTTCTTCTCTTGCTTTGCGTGCTACATGGAGTGTGGCGACTTGAACTGCCGCACATATGTGCAAAGTTCTATGTCGAAAACAGACAGACCTGTAGTCAACATTCGAACCCATCGACCGAAAGGTGCTGTTGCCGTGAAGCGAGTACCGAGAAACCATAATACACTAATCAATGCAATCACTCAAATCGAAATCACAACCGTGTACGAGCTTATGGAGAGTTGTCATTCTAAGTGTTGACAGTTAGTAGTGTCTGTCAGTGCTGCCTAATGCCTCAATTTTCGTTTAAAAATGTCATAGATGTACTAATGGAGGCCACCCTCATAGGTTGGAGCGACCTGGGGATCGATTTGTAATCAGGAAACAGTCCCGTCAACTTACAGGATGCGGGTGATATTTCAGGACTGATCTCCATTGATTCTTACTCCAAGGATAAGTGGTGAAATCGTTGAGCGCGTTAACTTCATTAATTTCAGAAGTTATATCAGTCTTAAATAACTGACTGATGATGAAGTACGAGCTCAGATACGAAAGATTCGCATGTCATGTGCTAACTTACGTTATCTATAGTGTAGACTTGATATTCAGTTATCGATCAAAGGACGGGTGTACTGTGTGGCAATTTACTGTCCTTCTCTTAACAGTGGAAGATTTTAAGCTTTCTTTCTTAAGCGTCAAGTGGTAAATATGGTGAGTTATATTGAAGATAGGCATAAAGTGTTATGTAAGGAGGGGTAAGCCAATCTATCCTGTTGTGAAGCTTCATCGACTGAGATGGCTATGACGTGTTACACATGACAAGTCATCGCCTTCCTCTTCCAACAATGTTAACTGACATAGTATTAGGTTGACAATGGAGTTAGGAGCGGTCAAACCCAAACATGACAACAATCCATAAAGTCTTCGACTGTTGGTTCAAGTCACGCAGGGTAGTGTAGACTGTCAGATTGGGGTCTCCGACAGACTAAGAGTTAGTGACCGGAGACTGTTTTCGATATGGCTCAAAATCGTTATCGATGGCTGAAATGCATTAATTTTCTGTAATCTTTGATATCCATAAATATCCTAATGATTCTCCATATTAATATTCTTCCCATACATTATAACTTTCTTCGCATTTTTTCAACCTTTACAGCTGCCGTATGAAGCGTGGCAACTTGAACTGATGCAATTTACGCTGTTAATTCAGCTAACCTACTGTTTAGTGTAAGAATATAAGCAGAATTATCACCAGAATTACATAGTGACTATCAGTCCATCAAAAGCTCCGAAATCAAACTGGTAAATGATGCCAGGGATACACGTTATAAATATCGTCACTTAAGAACTGCGAAGAAACATATTCTTTTCAAATCTGCACTTCATCAACGGTTCCGCACTCATATATGGCTTTTTTAATAATACGCCTAAATCATACCGATCATAATGTGATGTTAGTCAATAAGAAGTATGCATTTTATGTATAGAAGAGGTGGAAATAACTATGAAAATCAAGACCAGTTAATTTACAAATAGTAGAAACAAGTAAGGGGATGGGCGATAGTTTCTAAGATTGTTATTATATTATTATTCGTTGCTTTGGCTTAGAATCGAACGTACAAACTTCAGCAGCACATCCCTATCTTACTCAGTTCTCTGACATCACTTTCATTTAGCTCTGCAATAGCCCACAAGTCTTCATTTCATCACCACATGATCCTCTCTATGTCAGTCTCGGTCACGCGATCCGTCACTTCCTATTCGAGTTCTTTTCTATGGACTCGCGCATGATTACATTTGAATGTCTCCTCAGCGTATATCTAATCCATCCTAACTAATTTCTGCATATCTGTCCAGTTATAGGTTGTTATTGCTTATTTTCTCCTGCCAGCCATCCGATTTTAAGTATCGGTGCAGTGAAAACAGTTGTTGATGAGAGTTTACAGAGCGCTGGTGACACCCGCACCAAGTGTTTGAACCACATAGTAGCGCTGACTTGACGCTTATTTCGAAAATTCGGATCTTGTTTTTGTCCTAAGTGCTGTAGACCCTAATTACTGATTTCAAAGTAAGGAACAGGTGCCCTGCTTTCACGATGTCGTCCTTGCTGGCTCCGACATAACCATCCGTGCCGCTTCGAAATTGGAATGATGCTGACCAGTTCACATGCATGAAAGAGGCAACTTCCTTCAGATTTACCCCATTGAGGATGGTTTCTATTTTTGGCTGCATATGTTCATCGCTGCTGGCCTCTCTATATTCACCGGAATTCCTGTCTTCACTTCAAACGACTCGGTGAGCTTTCAGCTGTTAATCATTGATTAATTAAGATTAAGGTGTGGAATTCTTAATTAACTAAAGGGGAACGACACACGCAATAATGATTATTTTTATGATACTGAAATTGTACAAATTTTAAACATGTTAGTTAAGTAGTGTTTTGTGTTCCTTGAAAACAGGTGAATTTGCGAATATTGGAGTGATTAAAATCTTGAAAATATTGTTTATATACTGATTACTTGATTTGTAATTGATTATGGTGCTTATATATATATGTAAATGATTGTCGGATACTTTCATCAGTCAAACAACAAGAACAACTTTCTTTGACTTGTCATCTATTGAAAACAAAAAGCCAACAATTCAGGGGAAATTTTACATTGGACTGTAATATCCAATCTGACGATTACAACTTGAACAGTAATGTCTTGCACTTTTTGTAGAATCCAGACAAAATGGAATTAAACAACAACCCCAAAACAATCTGAAGATAAAATTAAAAAGCGAAAACAATGAAAGTGTACATATTAATTGAAATGATACGGTTAGTGTCATTGAGGAGTCATTAATAATATCTGTTGATTATGAGTTGAGAAAGTAGCAATCAGGAACTGGAAACTTGGGAATAACATGTCAAACTATCTTGGTATCTTTCTTATCTTATATACCATGATGCAGAAAGAAGACTGCGTATATGCAGCCTACGCAACAACTTTCCAGGGATTATCCGTCTCAAAAAGTAATGAAACACAGAGCAACAGTGGTAAGTAACACTAGTCAATCGTCTATGCCGATGATATATCGTGAAAGCCCAAAAGACATTGACTAGCAATAAGATAACTGATAAGCTCCAAACCACGTCGCTCTTGGCAGACAGTCAGGGATGATGGATATAGAATACTTCAGGTAACTCCTACCGATATTAATTCCCCTCTGCCAACAACCAGTTGTAAATTGAAACGGTGATCGTTACAAAATGTTCAAGCCTGAGGACACATGAGAAGGCTGCAACTAACTGACATATTATGATGTATAATTACCTGAACACTTATTCCATATAATATTAGGATTTAAAACTGTCTGCATACCACTTGTTAAGTTTGAAAGTTTATAAAAATGACGACTGATGAACGCAAGGCAGTTTATACAGGCCAGAAATATTTCCTTATGATTAGTACCGAGTTCACAATTGTGATTATGACACAGGAGAAGTCCTTACAACATAGTATGGAAGTAATTGAATTTACAGACATTAGAATAACACCAAATATAATCGTCCATACGTCCTCTAAAACTGAAAAAACCGGAAATGTGTTAAGTCCATCCATGAGGGTTCCCGTCAGATCGAGCATCTTACAACTTTCCTACATAGCTGAAGCTGGTAATCCGAAACTTAGTGAATGTATATAACTGCGTTTTCACAAAACCCTTCCTTTCATCTTTTTTTGAAACGCACTAAGCATACTGATGAGAACTTATAAATAATTCGCTACTGTTTTTCAGATAAGAGAACTTATACAGACCAGTCCTAAAGGGAAAATTCGTCTATTCGAAACGAGAAAAGTTTACTTAAAAGCCTCTCATTATTACTAATACTCAATGTGCTTTCAAATCGTCGTGGATAACTCCAATCTGATCAAGAGATTTTTTCGAAGCATTTTATAGTTCCTATGATAAATAACGTTGACAAAATCAGTGCAACCATTGCACTGAGCGCACAACCAAAAGTTATTTTTTTATTAATGTGTATAGTGATGATTTTGCAGTACATTTTTGTGTCACTTAAATACATTCAAGTTCAAAATAAACAATATTTATGTTGGAAATACTTGATTATCAGCTAAATAAGCTTCTGGAATAATTAAGAACGAGAAAGGTAACTTAAAGTACGATGTTATGAGTACACATATCGGCATTTTCAATCATCATTATGCACTTCCACTGTTCTCTTCAACATGCATACGCTTACAGTCCCCTTAGTCAACTATATCCCCTCAAATAACTTGTACTCTTTACTTTTCAGAGTATATTTCTGTAGATAAACAAACCTTTAATTTCTTTATAGATTAGTACAAGTACACTAAATTATACAAAAATAGGCTTGTGTTAGACACTAACAGCACAACCCATTTCAACTATACAGTAATAGCAAGTAAAAATGTAAATTAGCAAAATACTTGAAAATTGAAAAATGAACAAATCTTATATTTGTGCTACCCGAACTGACTAACTATCTAACTTAAAATTTTGCGCGAAAGTATATCAATTCGATTTACTAAAACTCACAATGAAAAGTGGGCAGAGATAGAATAGCATTAAAAAGACTAAAAGAAGTAGGAATTATCTCAGAAAATTCGTAGTCGAGATAAACTAGTCACATTTATTTATGAAGCTGAACTGAATAAAAATTCGTGCTTATGAGGAATTGAGTCTTATCAGGAAAATAAGTACTACAAGACTAGGCATAATATCGACTTATTGTTTAACTTGACAGCAGCTGTAGTTGTGTAATGTAGGTTTTCGGAAAGATATGTTCAAGATTCGGGATAATATTTACTCATGTGAAATACATTTCTGATGTAGACATGAAAAGGTTAGTTGTTTCTGATTATGGGTGTCTGAGTCCTGTTTACTAAGTTAGGTGGTATAATACTCTGAGTAATATTGAAGTTAGACGTTGAGTGTTAGGTAAGGAGGGAAAGTCAATCGACCCTGTTGTCAACATGCCTCGAATGAGATCGTTAGGACAAGTTTTGGCGGATGACCAGCCATCACCTTCCTCGTCAAACGATGTTAGCTGACATAGGACTGATCAGGTTGGAAAAGAGCTAGTGATGGTCAAACCAAAACATGGTATCGGTCAATGAAATCGTTGACAACTAGCTTGAGCCACTTAGGCTTTAGACTGGGATCCTTGGGATGCTAGGAACCGATGGATGGAGACAAGTGGTGATATGGCTCAAAATCTTTCTCAATCGCATAGATGCATTCGCTCTTTGTGATCTCTCATATCCGCTAGACCCTAATGATTTTCTGTGTAACTATTCTTTTTCTTCTAATTTTCTGCTTATAATAGTTCTTCTGAATTCATTTTTCTCTTTTTTGCTTTTTTTGTTCTAGATGAAGTGTTGCATAATGAACTCTTGAACTTCTGTGCTAAGGTCTAGGTTGAAACTCAGTCATTCATATTTCTGTTGTTGTGAGACAGTGAAAATAGTAGTATTTTAATTTGAGATTGACTGCTTTCGAAGTTACTGCTTTTCGGTCAACCGAAAGTACACAGACAGTAAAATATATCTAATAAACAATGATAATGAAATGTAGAATTATTTGCATATGGAAAAAAAATAGAATTAGGTAATCCAGATGTTTCTTATTCAAATATATGAAATTTTAAATGTCACTTCAGGCTTAATCTTTACTGACAGCTTAGATAAGAAAAATGGGATTGAATGTGCTAAAAGTCATTCGTGTAATTGATTTGACTTGTGCCATACTATTGCATCTGTAAGTTTAAGATACAGAAAACGAAAAGTTAAATGCTTCTGATATGGCTAAAAATAAATTACGGAGATGAAAGATTAACCACTGTCTACTTGTAAATTGAAATGAATAGAGCGTATTGCGTATTTCATTTCATTTACAATTGTTTATATCATAAGTTTGACTATTTTCAATCTTTTATTACTTCTTATTTATTTTTCTTAACTGAAATGTTAGTGACGACTAGGGAAAGTAGTCCTAATGTCTGACAGCTGATGTCACTGTCATCAGTCATCATCTATAAGTAACAATAAAACCCAACATCTGACTTTTAATTTGTTTTTAGTCAATCAGAATAGGACCATGGACTTTTAAAGCCTAGTTATTGCTAATATAACTGTGATAAGCAAAAAGTCACACATTTTGAAATAGAATTCAATAGTATTTCCTGCATCACGGTAACAAGGGCAACTGTTAATTTATTTACCATCAGGGCAATAAGTAAACTGTCAACTCTAGATATTTGTTTGATAATACACCTATAAAAAAACTCGTTACCTATTTATCATTTAAAGTAGGATTATGCCGAATTGGTTATCAATATGACAATGAAAACAGTCAGTTATAAAATAGGTAACAAAAATACCTGTAAGAAGTAATTGTATAATTGCTCATAGATGCATAAAACAGAAAACAAAAACACCTTACCCAAAGAAACACATGATTCCGCAAAGTAACCACGGTAAACATCCAGATTCTAGTTCAACTCTCGTCATACCATAATTATGACAGAAAGGACAAGTGGTACCAACAGGAGATCGATGAAAGACTGCTCCAGCTGCTGTCGGCTGAACAACGACTGTCGCTGTGGTAGGAATACAGTAATATTAGCAGAATCAGTACAACAGTTATAATTGTTATTATTAATTACTACTTTAAAGCAAAGACAAGTTGCGCTGAGTAGATTGCTGCTGTTGCTGGATTCAACATAGAACTTGGCACCGAAGTGCAGCAGTTCAAGTTGCCACGTTGCTGAGTAGATTACAAGTATAGTAAAACTGAATTTAGTGTGACAAACTGTGTTGATTCTGATAGCGTATTAGGATTAATGAACTACCAAGCGATCTACTTTATCTGAGGTTTGACTAAACCAAGTGCTAACATTAGCTAGAAATAGATGTAAATCATAGACTGATCTGCGAACACGAACATAATTAAGGAAAACATTATTTGTTTCGAGAAAAGATTTTTTTGACAACCTCACTTCCAAACTGTAAATATATAATAATATAATGTAAAAAAAGTAGTCAATCGCACTAAAATTACGGTCAGAATATATACGACAAAAAATTAACATCATTTTATGAGGGGTGAGGGTTTGAAATTGAATGAACACTCCTGGCGAGTACAAATGTATTTAGCAGCTAATGTGTTCACGCAGGTATTTGAAAGCCAAGGAAAACGGCGGATATTTTTGTAAACATAAATCATAATTTCATGTCTCGGTCTTCAACAATCAATGTAAAATTCAGTTTATTTTTACAAGAACCACAGGATGACGTCTTCATTTGGAAGTGTCGATACAGATATTGAAAAATCAGTCCTAGAGGACAGCAGTACACCTGTCAATAAAATTCAATGATTTTCATATTACGAAGCGATGTTAATGAGGCTGTGCTCCAGAATCCCACTAAACATTGACAACTGGTCAATAAAACCATGAACAGCGCTTCAATACGACATCGGATAAAAGTTATTTTTATTTATTACTCACAAACACCGCTTCTTTTAGATAAGGTATAGTGCTCAATAACACAAGTCAGTTCACAAAAATTACTCAATTTTATAGTATCCACTAACCAAACTTAATGAATAACCTTTGACTGATGTTGATGTTTATTAAAAACTGATATCGGTCATCAAACTGTTAGCGAAATCCTTTCTGTTGTCCACAAGAAGTGGGAATCTAATGTCAGGCTTCTGTTTAATTTGAGATTGGATGGTAGATAATTCAATTCTGACCAGGAATCAGTGTAAGTGACCATCAGGAAATTTTCTTCATTACAATAGTTTCTCAAATAGACGACTCCGTCTGACAGTAGATGACTTTTCCATTTCTGACTAAATGGCTGTAAACTGAATATATCACTGCCGCAAATATTATTTAGCCTCGATTTCAGTCACATCTATTCCCCTTATGAAATCAAATAGTGACATATCAATCAGCGCGGAATGAAACACCAACTTTGCCTTCTCTTGCGAACTCACGCTTTATTGTTGCCTAATACTACTGAACCAAAAGTGGATATATACTTTTGATTAAAATAGTGCCAGGTTTTCACTTATTTGCTGTTTGACTATTCAACAATAAGATAGAAAGAAACAAAATACATGAGTATAAGGCAGTTTAAACACAAGGTAAACAAAACCTACTTGGAGGCACATTATAAGTGTGAGCTGCTACCGGCTGATAAGCACTTCCGACAAAACCAATATTTGGTGGCTGATTGCTTTGTGGATTAGGCGGATATGAATAGGGAGGTGCGACCGGATATGGTGCACTTGGTTCATAATAAGGAGGAGGAGCTTAAAGGAGACAATTATAAATGTATATTGAATATTATCAAAATATCTCATTTAATCGTCAAACATGGAAAAATTGTTTAGACAGTTAATTTAATTTCTTCCATAAATAAGGAATGACTCCTGTAGGTTATTCAGTTTTAGAATAAGAATAAATACGTATTCTGGAAATAGAAAAAAGGTGTGTGACCTCACTATTACTTGTAATCAATCGGAATAGGACCACGGACTTGCAAAGCCTAGTTATTACTATTATAACTGTGATAAGCAGAAAGTGACTCATTTTGAAATAGAATTCAACAGTATTTCCCACACCAGGGTAAACAATTTCCCCCATCCTTATTCCACCAAGCTCTGCTGTTGTTATTCTTATTTTTATAATCCTCGCATTTTTTGTTTCGTTTATTTTTTCATAAATGTAAAGATCATTTAAGCCCTGTAATAACTGTTATTTTTTGTTCTTCACCTCTCCATGCTATATCAAGAGAGCACTAGATTCAATGAGGTTAGATTTGTTAAGCTCAGTAAGGACAGCGTCTGTGAAACCCAACAGTCGGTTGACAGAACTAGGATGTGTTACAAAACCCAGACTACCACATTTATCAACGAACAATGTCGGACGAATAGGACTAAGTTGGAAAAAAGTTATTACCAACAAGTTACAATAATCAACACAACGCACCAAATTAAATGTGATAAAAAGAAGTGATGGGAGAAAGTCTTTTAAGTGTCACACATCCATAGCGAATCAGAAAATTTTATCCATGACCGAGGTGCACCTGCTATCATTTAGCACCTGTTCATAAGAGAATCTTGATCATTATGGAATCTAATCCACATTAATAAGAGCATTTCGGAGAATACGCGTTTGACATCCTTTATAGACTGACAGGTGACGAAGTTCATCAATAAATGGATGTAAATACATTTTACCTAAAATGATTGGAAGCCTTCATAACATGCAAGTCCTATCGTGATGAAAGGTATTTCTAGGGTTTCTGTGAACAATGGTAAGTGGAATGAGACAGTTCTGACAAGCTGACCTGCTTTGTTACGTTTAACACTGAACCATCTCAGCACACGTCTACCGAACACTTTTAAAATGCTGTGAATCTACAATGCAACAAAAGACTTGTATACAGTGATGTACAGATATTCGTCATGGTCGAATTCTACACGATAGCGAAGTTGAAGAATAGCAACCACTCCGGTAGGAATTACCACTGAGCGTGAGCAAGGAATCAGTATTAGGGGGCAAAATGTCGTCAAACTATTAAAAAGACGACTATAGGTCACGGTTTCCTGAGATCCGTTTATATTTCCGGCAAAGTTCAACAATAGCGTCCTAAGAGGTGCGGACGCACGATTGACATTGAGCCGACCAATCATAAGAATGAGGAATTTTCGCAGTTTCTTCAATATATCCCCAAAATCTCAATCTCCCCAGAAACATATACTTCCAAAATGCATGTGCATTATTTACACAGCAGTTCCACACTTCATCTTCCTGCAACTCGCTAAACAAATCGAAAAATTATAATTTGATTGGGACAAGTAACTCCAACAGGTCTTTGAAATTTATGAACTGCGGTTGCTGTAGTAGTTTACATCTGGTTAGATGTGAGAAAAAACGGTCTGTACCACTGAACATGAATTTCCATTGCCGAAACGCCTATCTGAATGCTAACTTGGACTATTTGAAAACTAACCAACATAAATTAGGTATTCGAAGCAGTGTGAACAAATTAGACCGACATTTTAACAACGAAACTCACGCTTATCCATATCAGCTACGAAGGCTACGAAAGATGACCTAGCTTTGTTGAAACTGCCGCTTCCACCGACAGTGATCAGTCCGTAGATTGTCCAATCTTAGGCTGGACTTATATGTCTCGTTGGTTGAAATTTCACTTCGGTAAATCTTTTCGTCTATAGGTTTTAATAAAATTGTGTTATATGTAATCTGGATTGGTGGGAATTCTCATTTCCTGACTAGTTACGTTGGTGTCTGCATCATGTGATCTGACTGCGACACACTCTTAGCATATTGATTGCAATGATTAGTGTTTCAGGAGGACTGTGTGAAAAAAGCGTTATGGTGAGCAAGATGGGATAGTTGGAGAGTAGTGTCATCTGCACAAATAGGTTACTTTATGTAGAAGCTTCATCTTTCGGTGTAGTATAACTCAATGAAGACTTCACGTCTCAATGTAGCTATTTTCGTGTGAAGAACAGTCCTTTTTGACATAAGAATGCTATCGGTACATGGAAACCTCCTGTAAATGCAAAGAGAAACTTCTGTGGGAACAGAATTCATCATGTAGATGAGTCTTTCACCGTGTGTTTGGACAGGAATTAATTAAAACAAAACACTTAGTTTGGCGAAGAGTCTCTTTCCGGCGAATTCGTTTTCTTAGTTGTATAGTCACAAATCCTAATTTTCTTGACCAATTTTGTATTACGTATCTCCAGTTAGCAATCTCCACCTGTTAAGTTAAAATAACCATAACCTTTAACTGGGACAGTTCGTACACTGACCATATCATCGTATGTTATCCTCTTTCTAAATCGTTTCGCAACATATTGAGTGGCTGTTAACACTGGTTTTACTACAGGCAGTCACATTTCATGTATTTGGATCTAGTGCATTAGGCATTAACAAACATAGGTTAAACTTACCCCTTAGAGGTTGCTTAATGCTTTCCTGTTTCTTTTTGTTTCCAAAAATGCATACAAGCACAACAGATTCACACTTCTCATGTGGCTCAACCTTGTTTGATTCAGATTCTCTTTCAATATATTTGATTTTTCAACTGATAATAGACACACTGATGGTATACTCACCTTCTCGAAAAGCTCCAAAGCTTTTTCAACTTCAAACCAGGTTCTAAATTCTCAGGGTCTAATATATTCTTTGAAAACCTTGCTAATATCAACTCTGACCGTGCTCTCTTCACTAGATTCACTCGTATATTGTTGCATGCCGTAAACATGAACGTGAAAGACATTGTTTTTTTTCAGATTTATACATGTTAAGTAAGCAAATGAGTCACTAACAGTAACAGCAACCGATAAATGTACAGGAAACAGCATCTTCTGCCAGCCAGACATGTTCATGTGCATAATTTCCAAAATTTCTACACAGTACTGTTTCATAAACAGCTGAAAAACAGCTAAAACACTGCAACCACGCGTGAAAGCAATGTATGAAACCATTACAATGGAATGAATGAAATAACCTGGTGGTAAAAACTTTCGAAACAGACGAAATAACTAATTTTAACAGCAACGGAAACAAAAATTAAGTGGAACGCTACATTTGTGAACAATTTGCATCAAGATAAGTTATGAATAACTGCAGGATAAACCTAATAACCAGTATATTAACGAACGGTTACGGAAGTGCAATCCAACATGGCCGAATAACATGCACGAAAATGACCTTCAGGAGTCTTACTCCACCAATTGCCTTGAACATGCCTGACAAGTTCAGTCACATTCTGAAATTAATATTACAAATTTAGCTGAGGATACAAGGCTTACTTCTTATTTTGATTTGCTTATTTCAGAAATTAGTACTGTTCTAATGCCTCAAGCGGTAATGACCAGAGTGACAAAACAACTTCTTCTGATACTCTGGTCAGTTAATGCTACTATGGAGAAACTAGAACACCATAGAGAACATTTCTGGATCCAACCACCGTCCCACTGCGGATGGCGGCTGGACAGCGACAACGCCAGTATTTTCGAAAAGAGAAGACAGAAGAGAACAGCAAGAGTGGTGCACAGACAGCCAGCAAATATTAATAATTTAAACAAACGATATACAATTAACGCAGGATTCATTCCCATTTTTTATTTCCAAGAATTATAGTCATTGCATTTAGTCTCACAGACTAACGGTTAGTTCAGGTTTATGGTAGCAAAATAAAATTAAAATGAGAGAGAAAGGAATGACAATGATTGTCTTCACTTACATAGGCTAATGCTGGGAACAGATACTGCGTTAATTGCATATCGTTTGTTTAAATTATTAATATTTGCTGGCTGTCTCTGCACCACTCTTGCTGTTCTTTTCTGCCTTCTCCTTTCGAAAACGCCGCGATGGAGCACTGCAAATGTACAGAAGTGATGCTTTCTAAATTTGTATTAATTGAAAGGTGTTTTCAATTAATTAGAACCTACATTTGGTAGCACATACGATGAACAACGGATAAAATTCCATCGTGAGATCTGTTTATCGTCGCAAAGTTGGTTCCTCGTATCTGCTGACACCAGAATAATGCTGTACTGACCTCCTACTGTGGAGTTTTATAAGTTTTCAAACCCTTATTAACTGAATAAATGGGTAAGGATATACGTTATCGCGTTTGAAATTTACCCCACTCCAGGTTTTCTCGTCTCTCATTGGCTAGAACAGTGGTGGGTATTTGGATTTTTGATTCGTCCTAGGTAGGAAAGACATTGTAGTCAGTTTCAAGGTCATGATGGGTTCCTGCATCTGCTGGTTATATGTTTTCGTGAATTCGTTTTCCATTGAATTTTAAAGGTTTTTTGAACGTTTTGCTTGTTTTGGAGTATGTAGGTCAATTTTTTGTCAGTGGATGCTACTATGACGTTTATTTTTAGCCTGCAGTTCCCAGTTTTTATGTTGGTAGTTTAGGATTATGGTAAATCTGCAATCATTGAGCCAATTCACGTATACTATGCTAATATAGTAACATTCCTCAGTAATTAAACGCCTTAAATGTTCTGCCATTGTTGGATCAAACAGTGGCAGAACAGTTACGGATTATTTGCTTAAGGTAGAACTGTGCGCTGGTTTATCATCATGACTGTCACCAACTCAGCACCTTGTTCTTATTCTACGCATTTTCAGAAGTAGCTTATCAGCCTTATTGTAGCACTTCTAGTCCAGGTTCTGCTCCTCCCAAGCTTACCATTATGCTGAATTAAATCTCACTAATTCTGAAATAATTTCAACGTTCTGTAGTAAGTGAATTCTGAATCTGTTCTTAAATAGAATCTTTAATGTCACAGTCTAGAACTCAGTTTTGGTTTTCAGCATGACTGATACTAATTCAACACCATGTTCTTTTTCTAGACATTTTCAGGAGTAGATCAGGACCTACTGGTTTTGCTTATCAGCTTTATTTAAGCCTTTTCAGATCATTTTCAGTACGGACTAGCTTTACTTCAGAACAAGAAGACTTGATTTAGCACACAGTGGTAATTTTTTGGTCTTAAATTTGGAAATTATATTTGGAAACTGTAGTACAATGTCACTACAAATCCGTCAAGTTAGGTCCACTGGTAGCACCCTGTAAATAAGCAAAATAAAATATCAGTTGATGAAACATTGTGCTCATCACATTCTCAGCATTTACATTTAGAAAAGTTCGCTTACATAACTGCCACTGTTATATCCCCTGCTATCTTTTCCATTTGCCTAGAAATAAAAACAATGTTGTGATTACTAGATGTTGTCTTAACGTTAACCTATAAAACGAAGCGGGCGTTTAACAGTATTACCTGAATTCCTTTCTTCAGGTTACGCCTTTGGACACGATCTTTCAAATTATGAATGTACGATTTCGTGGCCTAATCCATTATGTCACCAACCTCTCTCAATGTCATCAGTTGGTCGCTACAGAAATAAGTACTTCATTAATGAACCTTACATCTCGTGACTGAATTTCGAACATCTGAATATCCCCAAATTCCTTGATTTAAATGGTGTAGTAAAATCATCACTAAAATCACAGTAGGGTCGAAAGCGTATCCTATCTTCACTTTCCATTTCAACTATATTCCCCCGGTTTGCGTGAGGCCAAGATTACATTGTCCGGAGAATAAGAAGTAAATATGGAGTTCAGATAAGCTAACTTTCCTTTGCTAAACTTAACGCCCTTAGTACTAGCTTCGTTAGGTATATGCTTGACACCTGTACTTTTCATTAAGTGCACGTGCTCAACATAACGCTGAGCTGCCTGCTTAGCCACAACATATCCACAGTGCACGAACTGTCTGATCATGCGCATATAGAATTCAAAGGGAAATGCACTGAATCCCTCTAATAGCCCATGCAGCTCGACGTCATCCACTGTATGTTTCAGAAAATAAATATTGTAAACAATATGTTCATCTCCGAAACAGTTCTCATATTGCAGTAAGAAATTACTCCAATCTGTCCGAACAGCATCCAAAAACAGTCGGCTGTATTTGGTACTCGAAAGTAAGTATACTGCCAGGGAAAATTTCCTATAATTATAGTACAGGGGGGAGGCAGAATGTTCCTGAGTAGGCGAGACCCAAATATAGTAGCTTTTTAGAAGGACCAGGGTTATATCAGTACATACTGGGTTCACTTCAAGTAGATAATATATTCACTTACCGTAAAAAGGCATTATCGACGCGTTGGTTAGACTTTGCTGAGAATTGTTGCAAGGTTGGTATTTTAAGCGTCCCAAGCTTACTATACTATACCTCCAAAAGTGCATTCATACCTCAAAAACTTATATTCCATAGGGCCAGATGGGTCTTTTTTTACCTGAATCAAGCCGTTAGGATGTGTTGGATTCCTTTCAAAGAAATAATGAACAATTCAGTTGTTACCTTCATAAATGTATCAAAAACTTGTTTAAGTTGCACCCACGTATAAAACACACAACTAAGCATTATTCTTTGGAATATAGCCATTATATCAGACAATATAGATGACTTACTTCGTGAAGTAGAGGCTGCAGGAGTATCTTGTAACGTCATGTAATGGTTTTAACAATGAC